AGATAACATTGAAGTGAGTAATGCTGAGGCAGTTGCAGTATGAAATGGAAACATCGATTCCACTCTAACACAACTCATTTCTACCGGCGACCTTCAAAATACAAAATATAAAATCTATCAATCATAAATTCATACAATAAACTAAAAAATTTACCGAGAATAATTGTTTTTTTGTCACTGAGACCTGAAAATGCGAGCAGTGACTGGTTTTTGAGTTGGTATGCGGAATGGAGAGGTCTTTGGCTTGGCGCCGGAGGCAATTCTGGTGGTTGCTGCTGATCGGCCGGAGGTGGCGGCGGAGCGGAGGAAGGACCTGGCGGCGAAAGTGGCCATAATTATAAAAGGGAAATGAGAAGAGGGAAAAGGGCTTTGTTGGGGTTTTAGGTTCAGAAATAGGGGGTTCCTATCTTCTCATTTTTCCTTTTTTTTTTAAAAAAATAATAATTATAATGACATCAAATACCCTTATATTCGGTTCGGTTCGGTTTTATATATTATCGGTTTGATTTATCGGTTTTCAGTTTTTAAATACGTTAAACCAATAACCAAACCAATAAGATATTTTTTTTATCGATTTTCGATTTATCAATTTTGATCCTTAACACTCCGGTTTTCGGTTTAACCAATAAAAAAACACTTATAAAATAAATATATGACTTCTCTAATAAATTTGACGCGACAACACAATAATGTAACTTTACAAATGTTCGTAAAATAGAAACAACAATAACAAACATGAAAAGAACTATACAAATATAACCAAAGAGAAATTAAGAGGAATATGGTTTGATTTTGACGTTTTGTATGAAGTTGTGAACTCAAAATCACTATGAAGTGTGAATTAAAGCTAAATGTCAAAGACATAACTAGTAATGTATTGAGATTAATATATTTATGTACAAATAAAAGTAGTAAATTACTAGTCTTAATGGGTTATCGATTTACCCAATAACACAATATTAAGAAACCAATACCGAATCGATAATTCGATATTCTTTATAAAACCATTAAAATCTGTTAACCCAATAACAATAAACCAATAACACTTTTTTCGATTTGATTTATCGATCGATTTGATTCTTGCACACCCTTAATATGACACAATTTTAAATATAATTTTATATTTTAAAATTTTAAATATTTACTCCTCTTACACTGTAAAATTTTATAATTAGATTGAGATATTTATGTAATTAAAATCTTATTTATTTGTAAGATCATCATCAAATATTCAAATCTCAATTATTAAGTTTGTTCGTACAAAAAGATGTTATTTGTTTGTAATTATTTAGATCTCAATTAAAATTTTATTTGTTTTGTACAAAAAGAGCTTCTACTTTTCTTTGTTTCAAAAATGTTTTTATGTTTATTTTCAATTATCCATATAATATATTTAATGACACTAAATTTAAGGTTATTTTGGTACAAACAAAATGAAGAAGAATGACCAGACTAAATTGTTTTTAAAAAAAAACATTCAGGCGCCTGTAGCTCAGTGGATAGAGCGTCTGTTTCCTAAGCAGAAAGTCGTAGGTTCGACCCCTACCTGGCGCGTTTATTTTTATAATGTTTTAGTTTTAAATATATTTGACTTATTTATATTTGTAAATAATAATAATAATATATATAATTATTTTTTGTAATGATTCATCCTTTATGACATTTAGGGGTGGATTCAAGATTTATATTCTATAGGTTTAATATTGGAAAAATGGTCTGAAAAATACTTTAATTTTGACTGAATTGTTGTTACGATACCAAACTTTATGGAGGACATTTTACCCCCTGCACTATTTAATAGTGTATTTTAAAGGTATATATGTGCTCACATGGACACATTACTATTTCTAATGATGCAATATTTATGATGTCCACGTGGACACATAAATACCTTTAAAATACACTATTAAATAGTGTCGAGGGGTAAAAGGTCCTTTTCAAAGTTTGGTATCGTAACAACAATTTCGATCAAAGTTCGGATATATTTCAGACTTTTTTCCCTTTAATATTCAAGGTAGAAAAATATGTGGTTTATTACTTATTTTCGGTAGCATTGGTTGTTATGGGGGTGACCAAGTGGGAGTAAGGTAAAGATAAGGTGTGTCGAAGGCTGGTAAATGACATATTCAATGTGGAATGTCACTTAACTAGTTTTCTCTGATTAGAATAGAGAAGTCATTTTCCTAATTCTTAAACAAGTTAAATTTCTATATGAGCAAATCGAAAAGTATTCTTCTCCATATTGATACACCCTTAATATTCAACTTAATAAAATTTTAAAATTATAAATTTGATATTGAAGTTTTACATATAAAATTTATATTCAACATTAGCAATATTGAATTAAAATAAATCCGATTCTATAAGATTGCATCCGTCCCAAATAACATTCTAGCTCCGCCCCTGAGTTTGAAAAAAAAAAAACCCATAAATGGCCAAAGTTATTTATTGTCACAAAAAAGAAATACAGGCCATAATGTAAAGTCATGTGCTATGGCCTTTATAGACAAATTATTATAATGTTTCATGACATAAATAAACAACAGACAAAAACAATCCTAGCTACCAACTTAATTATTTAAATTCTCTTTTTTAATAAAATAGTGAATTTGATCAGTTAATAATCAAACAAGTTAAAACATTATTTCATGTGAGAAAAGAATAAATATGCTGCATTTGTTTGGATGAAAAAATTGAAACATAAATCATTAATTAATGTCCTTTATTTTAAGACATTAATTTACAAAATCCTACCCAATGTAATAATGAGGTTTGGAGCTATAACTAATTTTTTTCACGAGTTTAAGTTTTACGCACTTATATATTTTTTTAATGATACTTAATAAAAAAATATTTATATGTAGTGCAAAGATATCATTTAATTATGGTAATTTGAAACGATTTCATGGAATATTGTCGCTTATACAGAATAAAATAAAAACTATTAAATCGTTCACTTTCGACCTAGCTGAAGTTTTAAAATGCGTCACTAAAAATATATTTTTTTCTATATACTTGATATTTGTTTTCGTATTTTATAGATATAGAATTTATCTACGACGTTGCTTAAATGAAATTAATCTGAGTAGGGAATTCAAAAATTAGTTGAAGATTCTTACTTTAAAACAGGCTGTTACATCTTGCATACTTTTAATTTGTTTGATTAACATAATCACAAACTAATCATTCAAAGAGTAATTTTATAGTAAAATGGAGTGGTTTTCTTCCTTTTGGTATAGAAAGAAGAGAAAGCTAGGTGAGATGGGGTTATACATACAATATAATATACATAAAAGAAGTATTTGTACCAAAAAATGTGATAATAAGCAGTTAAATATTCTTTCATTCTTAATTTGAAATTTGAGATTTGAGACAAAAAGTAGTTCAATGAATTTCTAAGGATGAGTTCCAAAAAGACGGTTCTATTTTTATGCCTAAGTTAACAACCTTAATTAGTGGCCTAGCCTTTGAGCCGCCCTGGAAAGTACTTTACTTTCGAAGTAAATTTCTCCAACATGAATTTGAATTAATCGAATCGATGTGAAGAAAAAAAGAAGAAGAGAAGAATGTGGATTTCCTAAAAACAATATGACAAAAAGAAAAGAAGAAAAGAGAAGAGGGCAAAACCTTAACTCACCTACAAGGAATTTTGGAAAAGATTGGAAATTGAAGAGAAATATGGCGTGGGGTTCAACCATGAGAGGACAATTATGAAAGGGATCTTTACTAGAAAAATAACAATAAAATAATCAATAGAATTCATTATTTATCATTTCTAATCGATATACATTAATTATACATCAGTGTTCGAGTCAAATCCAACTCTACCATTGAAAAGAGGAAAATATGTGTAATTATTAATCTTCTACCCTTATTCTCGAAACAGTTTAGTCCATAGTTATAATTTGCTTTTAAAAAAAAAAAAAATGTAAAACAAGAAGGCAAAGAATGAGGAACATAATGATAATATCTCATTTTTACCCCAATAATTTCTTGTTGGAAAATGAATATGTCGTGCATGATAAAAAAACAATGTGTTAGACGTTGAAGCTACCAAGATAACTTGAAAAACACACCATTGCATGAGGAAATATTTGCTGGTCTGCTTTTGAAAAATCTTTTATTGAAACGATAAAATTGTCTTCGTATAATTTATAAGTCATGAATTTGAATTGTAAAAATCAATATTTATACTTGCTCTATGATAAATTATTTGCATCACACCCATATTATCAACCTCTTTGGAGTGTGGCCTTTTCCATAATCCTTACATAAATATGAAATGTTTCATACACTAAATTATTATTATTATTTTTTAAAAAATCTTCAATGAAAATGCCCTTGAAATAGACGAAAACAACTGTTTATTAGAAATAAAAAATATAAGTTCCACAAATAATATTTCACCTGACGTCTCTTACTCACCCTTCAACATATTCCTCCCTTACCCCTACTTGCAACTTTCATGGTGTTTGTCTATAATCTAGATTATACATATACATATAAGTATTTCTTTTGCTTACTCAGCACCAAACACAAGAAATAAATACAAAAAATATTTATTTTTCAAGAGAACATTTTTTTTTGTTACGCAAACACATATTTAATGAAATAATTTAAAGAATATATTTATTTTTAAACTTTTTTTTTTGTTACAAAGAGATGAGAGAAGGAAAAATGAATTCACAACATAGAAATCGAATCCATATCAATAAGATAAAAATTCAGATAATCAAGTAAGTGAGTTACTCTCTATGTTATATTAGTTGATAATTTTTATTTTTACGAGTCTTGAGTAATCCCTTTTTACTTTAGTAAAGTGAATAGATTATACGAGATAATTATTTATAATAAGATGATGAACTAATATTAGACGGACGGAGTACTAATACGAGAAAACACAATCATATTCCCGATGGAAAAAGTTTTTTCTAAAAAACATGAAACATATATATAATCAAAGATTTTTCAAAGTCTCTCTCGAAACTTACAACAATGGCTTAATCACTTTTTCCAGAAAAAAATCCACTAATCCATTCATCTCCTTCAACAATGCATCTTCAAATCTTGCTTATACTTCTATTACCTACATTGATTCTCTCAATAAACCAAGAATCCCTTTATTTACACACCATAAAGCTTGGATTTGATGACCCAAATGGTGTTTTTTCAAACTGGAATCTCCATGATAACTCCTCACCCTGTAACTGGTTTGGAGTAAAATGCGACTCTTTAACTCGTTCTGTTACATCTATTGACCTCTCCAACACCAATATCGCCGGCCCATTTCCGGCTTCTCTTCTTTGCCGGCTCAAGTATATCAAGTACATTTCATTCTACAATAACTCCATTAACTCGACACTTCCGGTGGAGGAGTTATCCGCTTGTAAATCTCTTGTCCATCTAGATTTAGCTCAAAATTTGTTAGTGGGTAGTCTTCCATCGAGTTTGGCGGAGCTTCCTGAGCTGAAATACCTTGATTTGACCGGAAATAACTTTACCGGCGAAATTCCGGCGAGTTTTGGGGCTTTCCGGCAACTTGAAGTTCTGGGTCTGGTTGAAAATTTGTTAACTGGGACTATCCCGCTGGAGATTGGAAACATTTCGAGTTTGAAGCAGCTGAATTTGTCGTACAACCCGTTTTCTCCGGGTCGGATCCCGCCGGAGATTGGGAACCTCACGAATCTCGAGGTGCTATGGTTAACTGACTGTGGGTTAATCGGTGAGGTTCCGGGTACATTAAGGGGATTAAATAAGCTTGTTAACTTGGACCTTGCGTTAAACAACTTGTACGGTCCGATTCCGAGCTGGCTCACTGAGTTAACTAGTGTTGAGCAAATTGAGCTGTACAATAACTCGTTCTCTGGCGAGTTTCCTGTGAATGGGTGGTCGAATATGACCTCGTTGAGGCGGGTCGACCTGTCGATGAATCGGGTTACCGGGTCGATCCCGAGCGGGTTGTGTGAGTTGTCACTTGAGTCGCTCAATCTTTATGAGAATCAATTGTATGGTGAGTTACCTATAACCATTGCAAATTCACCCAATTTATATGAATTAAAGCTCTTTGGTAATAGTTTAAACGGAACTTTACCTAAAGATCTTGGTAAATTTTCGCCATTGGTATGGATTGATGTTTCAAACAATGAGTTTTCGGGTGAAATTCCGGTGAATTTGTGCAGAAATGGGGTTTTAGAGGAGGTTTTGATGATAGATAACTCGTTTTCCGGTGGAATTCCGGTGAGTTTAAGCCAATGCCAGAGCTTATTACGTGTGAGATTAGCTCATAATAAGTTCTCAGGTGATGTCCCTGTGGAATTTTGGGGGCTGCCACGCCTTTCGCTGCTTGAGTTAACGGACAATTCATTTTCTGGTGGAATCGCGAAAACTATAGCTGGTGCATCGAATTTATCAGCTTTGATTTTGTCAAAGAACGAATTTTCGGGTAATATTCCTGAAGAGATTGGCTTTTTGGAAAGTTTGGTTGATTTTGTGGGAAATGACAACAAGTTTTCAGGGTCGTTACCGGTTAGTATAGTGAATCTTGAGCAATTGGGAAGAATGGATTTTCACAACAATGAATTAAGTGGTAAGTTTCCTAGTGGGGTTCATTCTTTGAAGAAATTGAATGAATTGAACTTGGCAAACAATGATCTTTCTGGAGAAATTCCCTGGGAAATCGGGAGCTTGTCTGTTTTGAACTATCTTGACCTATCAGGAAACAAGTTTTCGGGGGAAATTCCAGTTGCATTGCAGAATTTGAAGCTCAATCAGCTGAATTTATCGAATAATGGCCTTTCGGGTGGTATTCCTCCTTCATATGCAAAGGGAATGTACAAGAATAGCTTTCTGGGGAATCCAGGTTTATGTGGAGATATTGGAGGTTTATGTGATGGAAAAGATGAAGGTAAAACTGCTGGTTATGTATGGTTACTGAGATTGCTTTTCGTACTTGCTGTTTTGGTGTTTGTAGTTGGGGTAGTTTCGTTCTATTGGAAGTATAGGAATTACAAGAAAGCAAAAAGGTTGGATAGATCGAAATGGACCTTGACGTCGTTTCATAAGTTAGGTTTCGATGAGTATGAAGTACTGGAAGCTCTAGATGAAGACAACTTGATTGGTAGTGGTTCTTCCGGGAAGGTTTACAAGGTCGTTTTGAGTAATGGTGAGGCTGCTGCTGTGAAAAAACTTTCAAGAAGTTTGAAAAAAACAGATGAGAGTTGTGACATTGAGAAAGGTAACTATCAGGATGATGGATTTGAAGCGGAGGTTGAGACATTGGGCAAGATTCGACACAAGAACATTGTTAGGCTATGGTGTTGTTGTACAACAAGGGGTTGCAAACTTTTGGTTTACGAGTACATGCCTAATGGAAGCTTGGGCGATTTGCTACACAGCAGCAAAAGTGGGTTGTTGGATTGGCCTAAGAGATTTAAGATAGCTATGGATGCTGCAGAGGGACTCTCATATTTGCATCATGATTGTGCTCCTCCGATTGTTCACAGAGACTTGAAGTCGAACAATATCTTGTTGGACAGAGAGTTTGGAGCTCGAGTTGCTGATTTTGGTGTGGCAAAGGCGATTGATGTCGATGACAAGGGAACCACGTCTATGTCAGTCATTGCAGGGTCTTGCGGTTATATTGCTCCAGGTTAGAGGATTAGTCCTTCACTTTGGGAGTTCTACTAACATGATTTTGTTGAATTTGGTTTATGCCTTCCATTGCAAATTGTAGTTAAGATGTATGCCTAAATATAACATATTTCATAGATTGTTATATTATAATTAAGCGTCGAATAAGGTCTGCTGTACACTCTACCCTCCTCAGGCCCCACTTGTGGGATTACACGGGGTATATTGTCATTGATGATTGTTAAACGTCCAATATCTATAATCAGGCAGACAGCTATATATGAGTAATTTTGGTCCATTCTTGAGCTATGTTGCTCAAATCCTTCAAAAAATGTGGCATGTCTTTGTTGGATTCTCCCAAAGTTATCAATTTGGAGGATCCAATACAGGCACAACAACATTTTTGAAGGATCTGAGCAACATAGTACTTGAGTGCCCTTGTACATTAACACTAAGGTTTGCTCCAAGAACAGGGCATTCTTTGTTTACATTTGCTTTCTGGTTCTGGTAGTGCTCCTCCGGTTGAACTAAATTCTGTTCGTCTTGCAGAATATGCTTACACACGTCAGGTGAACGAGAAGAGTGATATATACAGTTTTGGCGTGGTAATCCTCGAGCTAGTGACAGGGAAACTCCCTGTAGGTCCTGAATACGGGGAAAAGGATTTGGTGAAGTGGGTTTGCGCTACTCTAGACCAGAAGGGTATAGATCATGTTATTGACCCGAAACTCGACTCTTGTTTCAAGGAGGAAATAAGCAAAGTCCTAAAAATTGGCCTCCTCTGCACTAGCCCCCTCCCAATTAACCGACCCTCGATGAGAAAAGTCGTAAAAATGCTGCAGGAAGTTGGTGGCGGAGACCAGCTCAAGACAGCGTTAACAGATGGCAAGTTGACCCCTTATTACCACGAAGACGCATCAGATCAAGGAAATGTAGCTTAAAGATAGTCAACATATCTTTGCTTAGATTAGTGACATTCATATGGTCGAGACTCGAGACCAACTTGTCTGGGATTGAGGCATAGTCGTTGTATCGTGAAAGTGAAGATGTGTGAATTTTTTTATTTGCTAATTGCTTAATACTTTGTCTATCAATACTTGATTTTTGGTTTAATTTTGGAGAGAAGGGGAAAACAGAGTTGAGGTGAAGTGTAAAAGGATGAATTTTTATTTCTCTTGTAAATTTATAAAAATTCCTAAAGTTCTTTATCACTAACAAATTTAAATTTATCTGCAGTTTTAGCCTGATGTTATATTTGTAGCTTAATCTGTTTCTTGATGATGAATTTTACCATAATCATTTGTGAAATTTCCTTTTTTTTTTTGGTTAAAACAGAGATATTTTATTTATATATAATATGCATCATTACACAACTAGTGGTCTGAGATATTACAGACATTTAGTTTGTCTACTACATTACAGACATCTAGATTAGCTACTACATTATCATTAGTACAATCCGATTGAAGAGGTAGCACTATGTGCTTATCAAAAGTTGTTCCTTCCATGTCTGCTCGGAGTGCTTTCAGTGCAAACACGGGTGGAACTATCCATTCCACAAAATCTACATCCTACTTAAGTCTGCTTCCTTCATTAGCTAGCATATCGGCCAATTGGTTTAGCTGCCTGCGACTATGGTTGATCTGCGGGCTCCCCATCAGCCGGAGCAGCTCCCTGCATTCAGATATAATGTTAGTAAAAGAGTCGTGGCCATTTTGTATTACCTTAATGACTTCTGTTGAATCAGTGTTGATTTGTATCCTTGTGGTGGATAATGGCATTACCATCTTTAGCCCAATATACCCTTTGACTTACATAATGTCCGAGCTTGTCTTAAATAAGACATCTCGAACAAGGGAGGCTAGCTCCAGTGGTTGAGCTGCATTACAAGTTACAACCATCAATTTGTTTGCATTTCGTTTCTATTGAACTTTTTATATTAATAAAAGACAATTAGCACTACTAAAAACAAAAAAATTCTATTGCGAATTAATAGAAAATTTATGTTAGAATACATGATTTTCCCACTTCGTTTTTTTTTTTAACCAAACCAGCTCAATGGTAAAACACTCATTGAAATAATGACAAGTTTCTTGATTTTTGTGTGGAAAAACACTGCTCTTTTTTCTTTTCTCACTGATTCAATGAAAAAAAACCTGTGAAAATAGTCAAATGAACATTTTTCAGTGGGAAATTTCAAAGGGAAAATAGTAGGAGTAGTAAGTGCGTGGCCAGGTTAGTTCAGATTTTTCAAATATCAAACCAAATTAATTGTGCCAGATTTTTAAATTTATAAATCAAATCAAACTAATAAAACTTGGAATTTTCAACCTCGAGGTTTTGGGATTTTTCTGGTAAAATATTCATACAAAGTTACAAACATATAATTAACTTATGCTCCAAATATTTCTTCAATCATACCAAAATACATCTATCTAAGATGCTTCTCAAGAAAATGCATAAAAAAAAATATTGCAACTTAATAAGTCATTAGGAAAATAATCATAATTTAAAAGTACTGAATCATGCTAAAATAAGTTTAATAAGTATTAATTGCATGACTAAATATTAAAGAAAAATTAAAATTAGATGATATATTTTAATTGTCTAAACCAATGTAAAACTAAAGAACAAATAATCAACATTAGTGTCATTCTTAGTGTTGAATTGATTTTTTTTTTGTTAGCATTAGTATTAATTTGATTTTGATTTGAGCTTATTAGAGTTACTAACATCCATGGACTATAACATTTATTGGACCATTCAAAATTCTAAGTTTCAAACTTGAACTAATATGTTAAAAGGTAAAAACTAAGAAAAAGTAAAAGAAATATTTAGAAATTATATCAAAATAAATATTCTTATGTGTAAAATAAAATTTTAAAATTATATATATATAATGTCTGATTGGTTTGGTGTGGGGTTCAGTTTTTTTTAGTTAAAATTAAACCAAACCAAATATAGTCGATATTTTTTCCAATACCAAACCACTAATTTTTTTTTATTTGACTCGATTTAGGGTTTGATTTGATTTTCGGTTCGATTCGGTATTAAACCAAGCAACAATACTTTCTTATCAAATTGCTTCCAATTTCAGTATGACATGTGTGAATTGATTCTTGAATTTCACATTTGCAAGTAGTTTTTTCCAACACATCTAAGTTAAGTTAAGAGATTGCTTAATAAATATACAAACAAAAGATGCCATTTAATTACTTTGAAGCAACAAATTTTGTACAACAATAATATGATTGAAATCATCAAACTTTTTTTCACATTAGAAGAGAAGAAAATTATAATGGTTTTCCAAAAAGAGTACCTTGATTTGTTCTTGGTACCAAGTGGCTTAATTATTATGTTTGTTTATCATCTTCATTTGCTCTATAGATACCTAAAAGTTCCTCATACTACTGTTATGGGCTTTGAAAATAATGACAAAAGAGCTTGGGTTGAAAAAATTATGTTGGTAAGTTGAAATTACATATTTCAATTTTAGCTTTGAATCTTTGTTTTCACTTTTTATGTTGTTTAGTATGATGATGATATGAAGTACGCTGAAATGAAAGACGTGGAACTGAGGCATAGTTATTGTTGCTCATCTCTTTCCACTATCAATAAGATCTTTACAACATACTCTTGTTGTTTTATCTTATTGTCTTATGTCAAAACTTTAAGTTATGATTACGCTACTAGTGTCATGTTATGCTTTATTTGAGCTTAGGGTCTATCAGGAACAACATCTCTAGTCTCTACCTCCTTAAACTAGGGGTAAGGCTGTGTATACACCACCATTTCCAAACCCACTTGTGTCTTTTACGTATATATAAACTGTTGAATCTCCTCAACATAAGGACAACTCGATTAGCATGTTTCTCATTTTTCTTGAATCTCCTTGTTAGGATTTCTAGTTCCGCCACTAGTTATAGTAATTACTAATTACGAAATGTATTCTCTCAATTGTTACCTCGAAACACAACAACAACATATCTAGTCTAGTTCCACCAAATGGGATTTGGAGAGGATAGAGTGTACACAGACGTTACTCCTACCTTAGAGAGGTATAGAGTCTGTTTCCGATAGACAATGGTTACATTTGATTAAATTTTATGTGGAATTCTTGCAGGATGATAAAAAGAACATTGATACAGCTCTAACTGTTCTAGGATCTAGTCTCTCTGGAGCAACATTCTTAGCATCTGTTTCACTAAGTTTGAGTTTTCTTATTGGAGCTTGGATGGCCAACAATAGTGTTTTCAGTAGTGAACTAATATATGGTGACACTAGACTAGAAACAATGTCCATCAAATTCATTAGCCTACTTCTCTGCTTCATGCTGGCATTTTCGTGCTTTGTTCAATCATCGAGGTGCTTCATTCACGCGAATTACCTAATCAGTACGCCTGATACTGATATACCGATTAGCTACGTTGAATTGGCTGTGATCAGGGGAGGTGATTTTTGGTCACTAGGACTTAGATCACTTTATTTTGCTACACCTTTATTGTTGTGGTTTTTTGGTCCTATTCCTATGTTTGCTACGTCGATAGGTCTGGTTTTCTTACTCCATTACCTCGATAAGAACACGAGGGAATTACATAGGCATCGATCATCTGTAAATGGAAAGCAGCCATACCAGAAACTCGAGGGAACAACGAGTAGGAGATCTGTACCTATCGAGCGTTTAGTTATGTGAAGTTTCTGTCCTTGAAGCTTGTACAAAGTATCATGAGTTCTGTTCTATGGTTATTTGAAGTAATGTAAACAATTGTGTGTATTTAAAGGCAGATTTTGTTACATATGTTTGCAAGAACTATGCAAATGGTAGCACAAAAACTCTGTTTATTCATGAACTTTGAAACAAAAAAAGGTTCTATTTGTTATTTCTAAATAGAGATCATAACAAGAAAGGCTATGAAACAACAACAGATTCAGAATTTAGACGTTGTGAGTTTAACTAGAGTTAAAGATCAAGTTCTACATGTATATCTCATTCACTATATGCTTGTTATTCACACACATATAAAGTTCGAACTCCATTCTAGCAGCTCTCACATTTTTGCTCTTTGGGTTTATTTTGCTAATTAGTTAGTGATAGTTTAGATAAAAAACGGAGAGGGTTTGATTCCCCCATATCATAGTCCCCTTCCCCTTTCCCATATCCTATTTTTTTATTTCATAAAAAAGATAGAAAATGTAAACACAAGATAGTTTAGGTATAAAACTCGCAAAAATGATGAAAGCATTTTTTTTTTACTATTCCCTTTTTTCCAATTGATGTGGCACAATTCAAGTATCGATAACCAAACTTTTTTTTTAATAAATCTTTTGAAATATCATTTACTTTTTTTGTAAATAAGGTAAAAGAATACTATAGATTATAATAATTAATAATTTAAACTATTTAAAAAATTATAAAATTAATTATAATTAAAAAAACATATTTGAATCTCAAAGGACGAAAGAACCAAAAGCATCCCCGTTGTGGGTCATTCTTGCAAATCACCCGTTTATTCACACTCGAAAGTCGGAGCCCCAATTACGGAGTACCCGCCAGAACGCGCCGAATTTGAAATAAACCCTAGCCATCTGAGACACCTCAACAATGGCGTTCACACTTACTCTCACTCACTCTCCGGCAAATTCAACCTCACCGGAAACCAATTCGGCAATCAGAAAATGTCCTTTTTCCTTCCGGAACATACACTTCACACCTTACAGAAACCGTCGTCGTTCCATTTCATGCTCGGCGCAGCAGAAGCCGTTTAAGCCGATGACAGAGGAAAATATTCTCGAGGCAGTAGCTGATTTCGACGGAGACGAGAAATCTGTACCTTGTTTAAGAACTTATGAGAACGATTTAGCTCGACTCACATTGGTTGGTGCTGTTGACTTCCAGCAGGCACTCACTGCTGCTGCGGCGGACGGTGGCGAAGCTGCTGGAGAACATATTGCCGCTGGTATG